AAGTTTTGCTAAAGGTAATACAGAAACGGCTACAATCATACATTGACAGAGAACTTCCAGAGGTTCAAGCTGGATTCAGAAGAGGCCGTGGAACGAGAGATATCATTGCTGATGTCCGATGGATCTTGGCTGAAAGCAGAGAATATCAGAAGGATGTTTACCTGTGCTTTATTGACTACGCAAAGGCCTACTTTGGACATATTGTCCGGAGGAAACAATCGTTGGAGAAGGATGTCATGCTGGGTAGGGTGGAGGGTCATAAAAAAGAGGAAGACCCCCAACGAGATGGATCAGCCAGGTGGCATCATTGATGGACTCAAGTGTGGCAGCGGTAGTGTGGTTGGCCCAGGATAGGACATTATTTCGTTCTGCTGTGCATGGGGTCACTATGAGTCAGCACCTGACAACAACATGAATCAAATGGACTTCCAAAGAATGAGGATTTATACAAAATATTATGCTACCAGTTCCCAAGGTAATTAGAACAGCTCCCTCAGCACCCCCAAAATACTATGAACAGTGATATCAGTCAAAGAATCAATTGGTCTCTCAAGATAACTATTTTGTAAGAGGTAATATTAGTAGGCATACAGAAGTTTCTATTCGTTATTTCTTAATAGTAATATCATTTTATACTCATACCTCATATTTATGGGTATTTAAATTTTTATTACATTCTTTCCTTCAGCAGAAAATAATATGTCTGGTAAAAAGAAATATAAGGAGGAAATGTCCTCTTCCTGCTTCAATTCCGCAGGAACTTATTTTTAAATTAAAATTATGACATGAATATTATCTTGGAATAGTTCCACAAATTAATTTTAGCTTTAAAATCTGAAGATAAAAGAAGTTGCAATACTTCTCTGGGAGGGCTGATTAACTTAATATGGCCAAATCTTTCCAATTTCAGAATATGCCATTTTTAAGACTCACCAATTCTTCAGTTTGCATAATACACAAAGGGTAAAGACATAATAATGTTTATGAAACAGCACAAGCAGTTGTGGAGTTGAACTAACAACCTAATTATCTGTAACATTTAAACCATATTTTCAAAGTGCTTTTAAATTTATTTCTATATACTCTTTATTATAAAAGACAGATAAAATATTTGTGATTGACTAACTAGCAATCTAGTGAAATAAGAATCTATGAGTAATTCAGATTAGATTAGAGAAAAAGTAAACAGTTTTGTACAACTTTTGCTATTGTTTTTAAAGAACAAGACAAAGAGACTAAATAAAATGGGTAGCGACTTTCCCAGTTTTCACTCATTGCTTTCATCAACAATCAATAACTGAACGTTTTTTATAACAGCATTTTCAGTCCACAAATTAAACAGTACCTTACATCTTAGGGGAAAAAAAAAAGTCATTTTACAGGCTAAAATTTCATTCTAAAAGAAAAAAATTAGAAATATAAAGATCAATTGTTATCTGATACTACCTTCTTTCAGTCTGAAGTAAGCACTTCAGACTAAAAACAAAACAAAACAGCCTTGTCCTTGGTCAGAAACAGAAACTTTGAACATGTGTTTGACAAAAAATTGTCTCGGGAAGTTCCTTTAGGCACATCTGGGAACCAGGGGCAGTAAGGATTGCATTAAGTCCACAGGTCAGAAATTTTAATTACAAGGTTTGTGCTAAAAACATGAATTCCTTTAAAAGAGTCAAGAAACTGGGGCCTGGCTCCTTACTATATTCTTATCAATACAGCAAGGAGGTTGGTAAACTAGCCTTCACTTAAATATCTGTGCCCCATATTTCTTTCCCAAAAAGTGAGAAAATAATAGCCAACTACCTAATAGTACATTTTTAGGATTTAATGAGTTAATGTATTTAAAATAGTTAGACCAACTACACAGTAAATGCTTGTAGAATAAAGTATTTTTAAAATATTATTTGGACCGAATCAGGTTTGATTTTTATGTAACTCACCCTTTCTTTATAGATTCATTTTTGGAAACGGCATGATTTACTAGAGATGGAAAGAAGAAAGATCCTTTACTTTCCCTTTTTTTCTCACAAAATAAAGATCTCTATTAATCTATAATACACTTGACTGAAGAGCAATGTAAACTAATACAGGTAAAAGAAAAAGGAACTTAAGAGTCAGGATATTGGGTGCAGTGAGAATATGTGTGGCGCTGTGGGTTAATGCGCCAGACTGCAAAGCCATTAGTTCAAGTTCACCAGTCACTCCTTGGAAACCGTAAACAGGGTTGCTATGGGTTGGAACAGACTTGATGGCACTTAACAACAACAACAACAACAACAATGTATAAAAAGCCACAGACCAAAGATCCTACCTTTCTGTTTATTCTTGGCTTGATTCAACTTAGAAATTTCCATGGGTCCAGGGAAGAACAGTATTTAAATCATATAAAGTTTTTTTTTTTTTTTTTTTTAATCTATATAACACTTATTCTTATTCTAGGTTTTCTATATTTTTACATCTTAAAGATGGGCCCATATCCAATGGTGGCTATTGCTACAATAACTTTAGAAGATTTCATTTTTATTTAGTGACAATTTTCCCGCTGATGCCAGTCAGGATTTTTATATATCACTTTCTAAATGTGAGGCCAATGTGCCACTGAAAATACTTAAAGTTGTCAAGATGTTTCTCAAAACTGATGTAAATAGACAAAAAAGTCATATATCATGCCCAAATTGGATAATGAATAAGAAAAATAAATTACTCTATCTCAATAAAACACTATAAGGAAATGGTATGAAAATAAATACATAGATTTTAAGAAGAATGATTTGATTGTGCTCCAGAAAATCCACAATATATGAAAGGGCTTCAAAAAGTTCATGGAAAAAGTCCATTACCGTCTCATTGCAGTTTTCCACACATTTTCTGAAGCCCCTCTTGTATTATACCTGGAATTATGGAAACATATAATATAAAATCATGGTAATATAGTTAGAGCTTATCTAGTTCAATGAAGTTTCCTGTCTGAAAATTCAAGTATTATTAAGTGCTAAATCGATATGGTTGGCATGGTGCTTGGTAGTGTAGAAAATGTAATTCATAGACATCCCTAAATAATAAATCATAAATTGTGGCAAAATGGAGAACACAATGAATCAAAAGGAGTTCTGAAGTAATCAGATCTTCATACTTTCCATGGTACAAGAGCATTCAGATCACCTCACTAGGAATGTATCGAACACCTATAGCATACCAGGTCTTTTAAGTGACCATCTGGTTTCAATAGTTTTGCGGAGACAGGTATGCTACAATATCACATATTTAAACTGAGACAGCATTTATCCAACCTATCGAATTGTTTCTAGTAATTGCCTGGCCTCTTGTTGAAATGCTATAGTTTGGGGCAAGAGTATTCTTCTTCCTATAGCCAATTTTCATGCTTTCATCTTATCGCTTCACTTATCTTAACTTTCTTCTAAGAGTAGTTCTTTTCATCTCCTCCTAAAAGAAAGTTCTTACCTGGAAGGTACAGACACGTTTTAAGGCTGGTCATTTTTTTTCTTTGAAGTAGGAAAAAACAAACAAACAAAAGCGCACATGCCTCTGTCAAAGATACACAAGAAAAAAGACCCAAGCTATCAAAGTTTAATGGCATCTTCAACACTAATACCACTGGCATGGAACCAAAGCAATAAAACCAGATTGTGTGTGTATGTGTGTTTTTCCCCCGCAAACTACACCAAATGGTATTAAAACAAAAGCTCCCAATTTCCTCCAAACCTGCAATCCCAGGATTTATTCAATTTATGCTCCACAGTGTAAAAGCTTGCAATGAAGGTTTGTCCTTTTTATGTTTGTCAGCACATCATTTGATGCGTAACCTATTTAGAACGGCAGACATGCAGAATGCATTTTCTTTTTGCTACCAGGAAACACCCAGAGAAAACTCTGCCTGTGTAATTCTTCTATGGTGGTGAAAGAGAGAAGAAAAGTCAGGCACTTACAGAAACCGTGGAGCTGGGTGTGTTTGTCCCATAGCCAGAAGAGGGGAGAGAAGCCAGTGACCAGCGGCGTCCATCAGTCCTATTGAGAAAGTGGGTTTAGTTTAGGCCAACACTGGTGTACTATGACATGGGAACTCCAGGGAAAGCGGGTATTTTTAGGCAAACAAATGATACAAGCATAATGTGTGATAATGTGGCAATGCTCAGCAATGGTCAGGGTAAACAAACATTATCCAGCAGGTTGACTTTTATTTAAACAGAATCAATACACCCAAACAAGTAGAAAGCGAATGGGTTGATCCATATTATTGATCTCTCACTAATATACTTTGACAAAATGAATACCGGGGATAATTACAACTGTCAGACTCAGCAGATTCAAATTAATAAAAACAGAAAGGGAGGAAGAAAAACACTCTTATCTGGAAACATAAACTAGGCTGATGCTCTTGGGAAGCGCCTGGTTTAAAGCATGGTACAAGAGCCTGTACAGACTTCCATTGCATCCTAAAGACTTCCTGCTTATTATTTTCAAGACAATGGTTCTACTCATCACACCTAGGGATGAAGGGATCAGTGGACTCAGGGCTGGCTCAAGCTTTAAGTGGCACATAGCTTTTGTGGAATGACTGCCCTTATGCTCAGAATCCCTGAGGAATGATTGCCTTCTGACATGGCCAGGCTTTGCAAGGAGTCCCGGTGAAAGTCTCTGGCAGAGTTAACCAGCTTGCAGCTCAGCGTTGGTCGATGACAGCAAAGGCAGAGCGAAAATTTCTCCTCTAGTGATAGAACCTACTATCCTCAAAACTTGAATTGTCTGCCCCCCATCTTAGAAGAAAGTGCCATGAGTTTTGAAGAGAGCTGTTTTTTATTCTTAGAGCTCAGATGGGTACCTGCTGAGTTAGACTCAAGTTGTGAATTACATTCATTACAAAGGGTCTCATCAGAGAAGTTAATGCATTAGTAGAGACAATACTGCTGAAACTAGGGGACACCAGAAAGTAAATCTGAAATGTCTAGTATTTCAGAGCAATTTCTTTATTATTTGCCAAGAGACAAAATAGAAAAAAATAAAACAACTCAAAACATTTTCATTCCTAGCTAAAAGAACAAAAGTAGATTTTTCTTTTGTAATTCATGATTATTTTACTTTGCCACATGAGAGACAAAAATGGACAAAACTTACCAGACACATTCACAGTAAGCTGAAGTCAGCAAACTGAACAGCCTTAGACTTGAGTGCAAGAAAGATTAAAATTATATGTGCTTGTGAAAGTTATAAGCTACCATGACTGTTGGCTCTAATGAATGTGAATGTCCCACAGAGACAAACTGGAGAAATTCAAGTGGATAACCAGAACTATTACAGTGTTGTGATTTTAGTAAAAATTTCCTGTCACTTCTACGCCATGACGTAAGTACATCTGAATTAAGTATGTTTTTAAAAAGCAAACAAAATATGATATCTATAAATAAAACAGCAAAAAAAGAATTGTGAGAGCTAAGTTATATATCCTTTGAAAAAGATTTTTAAAACAACTAAATATTAGTTAAGAAAAAATAATCGTAATAACATACTTGTAAAGATAGTCAATATCAGTTACATGGATACAAGCTGCTTCTATTTTATTTGACTACTTATTAAAGATTGACTCTCAGGCCTGTATTTTATATTTAAAACACCTCCACTTTTAAAAAGTAAGAAAGGGATATGATTTATGATTTCAAAAGAATTATTCAGTCCATTTAATAGCAATTATCAGAACCTAGTCTCCGGAAAGAGCGAGGGACATAGTTTCCCCCACCATGATTTTGTTTTGTGATTCATTAACTCTCCTTTCCCTCAGGTATCAATGAACATATTTCCAATGAGTGAACAATTTGAAGAGGAGACATGTTCTTATTAGTTCTGAAGCATAAATTACATTTGCTTACTCTGGAAAACACACAACTAGAAAGATGTTTAAACAAGAGTGTTCTCAGTATTCTGTGCAGGCACGAACCAGAAACAATTTATGTCTCATAAAGTTGGCTAAGTTGTCCAAGTCTATTTACTCAAATGGAGCACAAAGGACCATTGCCTTTTCATTACCATGACAACTGCACACCTGAAGTGACTCTATAGGCTATAGATATAGCACTTAAGAGAGAGCATGATCCTTTTACAAGACAGGTATCACACAACTGCGATTTGGCTCCAACTAACGATGTTTTCTTTTCTATGCAGCAGGGCTAATAAAATGTTATCCGAAGAAAAAACTACATTCTTGCCAAACCAACTAAGCTTTTTTGAGGAGAGTCTTTTCCTTGCAGATGAAAATCTCATGTGATGTAAAAAAAGAAAAAGAAGCGGGAGTGGAGGTGGGGGAAAACCCAAACCATCTGATGGGAGCCAAAGCCACAAAGAGTCTAACTAGAGTAAAACATCATTTCAATACCACTCACTAAAACATAGATTCATGTGGTCTATAACAAACAGTCCCACGTGTTTGTCGGTGTGTCATACATAAAAAGTAAAGACTGACATGTCCCAATAGCAAACTGATTATTTATTATAACTGACAATTAAGGGGCAAAATGTTAACTCTACCATCAAATGAACTGTAAAAACAGTTTCACAATTAGCACTGAGAACATGTTTTCTTGATCTAGGGAAAGGAAAAAAAAAAAAAAAAATCTATTTGCCTGGGATGCTCAGTTCCATCCTTTTACTTTAACTTAATAAAATTAACTTGATAATTTTAGCCTAAAATGTGGATTAAAAATACAGACAGCAAGGGTGTGTCATCTGACTTCTCAAACTGTAAGCAGACTAGTACATTACACAGGATGTCCACTGGAGGAATCTTAGATCACACAAGTCAAACTAGAGTAGAAATTCATAATTAGCCTGACTTTTATCCCCTCACCAAAGAATAATTTCAAAAACAGCAAAATTCCTTTGGTATCAAGGCACTATTGAACTAAATCTACAAAACAATGGACTATGGAAATCTCAAAATGGCTTTATTTCTTAAAGGCTTAGAAGTCATAACAAATAGAATGGAAAGGGTGGAATCTCTGTGTTTCCTGGGAAAAAAAAAAAAAAAGTAACTCTAATGGAGAAAGATGCCCAACCGTAAATAAAAACATATCAATATCAATTTGAGTTTTCATAAGTAACACAGGGTGCTATTTATAGTTGAATAAAAGTTGTAAAAGATGATCACTCCTGTCCTAATCTAAATTAATACTTTTTGAAGAGTGTGAAGGGAGTTCCATCTGGAAATTCATGCAGAATGAACTAGAGGTCTCCTGTGATAATCTTCTGTCACAGTTTATGGTTTATTTGTCAAAAATTAACATGCCTGGGGGTTTGTGTATTTTTACAGCACAGAAACCAGATTCAGCTGTCCTCCAATCTCCCACGTAATTATTAGGTTCTCTTCATTTTTAGAAATCTGGCAGGATTAAGAGACTATAATTTTTGTCATATTTGCATTTTTCTTATTAAAGTCAATTTAATGCATCTTTTTTTATTTTTTAAGAGTGGTATATCAAAGAGTATGGCAAGTCCCTGTTTATCAACTTTTATAAATATTATCTTTCGCCTGGAACAGCAGCATCATTGTGGATTTAATTGTCATTGGATGAACAAAGGCTTTAGGGGGACCAGTTCATCCTCACATTTTCTTTACGGTGCTTAAAATGAGTAACTAAAGGAATAAAAGTTGGAAAAGCAAGGTGTTGTTAAGTGACGCCGAGTCTGTTCCAACTCAGTGACTCTACTGTAGAGGGTTTCTGAAGAGCACGTGGTGGGTTTGAACTGCGGACCTTACGGTTCACAGTCCAGTGCTGATCCTACAGTACCACACCAGGAGATCCAGTGCCACACCAGGAAGCAAGGTTTAGGCTTCAGTTCGTTGAACATCATGTCTTGATTATCGTCCCCATGGTGGGGGCACTAGATGGATGGACATAGCAGCCGCAACAATGTGTTCAAACACAGCAACTGTGAGGATGATACAGGACTGGCAGTATTCTATTGTCACTATCATTGGAACCACTCAACGGCACCTAACAGCAACAATTTGAAGTGGGCATAGTCCCTTACACAAATAGGAATGATGTGGTGATGAGCAGAGCCTCATAATGCAGAATGGGAAGGGAGGATTTCCTATCTAACACTTTACATTCCTTTCACAAGAAGCTCTTACCTTCGTGCAAATGAGAAATGGGCTGAGGCACTGGGGGAGAAGTTCCGTGGACTATCTTGAGGGCTATTTCCTGTAGAAAGAGAGAAGACAAATGTATAACATGATTGTTTTTGTATTATTATGCATTTCCAGAATCCTCTTCTCCTTAGTAATAGGTTTCTTTACACTTCAATAATATGCCCTCCCCCAGTTTCTCTGGAAGGAGGTTTCCCTGGTGTTGAAGTTTCAGCACAGCTTTCCAAGTGGGCATGATATATGAATAAGACATTCACTTCTATCGCCAATCAGCATCTCTCCATATACTTAACAATCCAAGTTTTTCAGTCCTATTGAATAATGAATACACAAATGTGCTGCTTGTTACCTTCCAGATGCTAACATTTCAAACAGCAGAAAGGGTGGGTACGCATATGCCTTCAGAGGGTGTGGATGGGGGGGGGCAGGGTGTTCTCTATTTTAGGGAGGCAGGCTTCATATGTATATATTTTAATTAAGAGTGCCTGAATAGAAGTCTGGCTCTCAAAAATAAAATACTTCTATTTCAAAGCACATATTTTAAAGGTGGATGTGCCACAATGAGTCGTAAATATTGCTAAGGACAAAGCTCTGTTTCTGACATGACACAGATCTATCTCGGCACCATCCAAGCAGCCCAGTAGAATTACCCCTTGTCAGTAGTTTCTTCAACAATCCCTCCACTCCTAAGCAGCTGGGCTGTGACTGGCCAGAGCCATAAAGAGGCTGGCAGAGTGTATTTTCCCTGCGCCCCAGTCAAATGGCAGCTCAGGAAGCTGTCTCCTTCTGTGGCCCGTGAGTCAGTAACTGCTGGCTGTAAGGAGGGCAGCTCCTTGGGGGGCCTTGTTACTTTCTCTATTAGACCACTCAACCTGCTGCTGATCATTGAGAAAGCTTGGCAGGCAGCTGGCAAGGGAGGTTCAGGGCACTCCAGACTACCCTACTTCCCTCTGCATGTTTAATTAGATTGGCTGAATTGTCTGAGGACAAGACTGGCTTGTAAGTGGTTTAAATAAAGAATGGGGAAAATCTGCAAATGAATCCTGTACATTCGGGAAAAATGAAAAATAAATTGGGAAGGTATGCGTGATGCTTAACAGCAAGCTAGTTGTCACATTACTGGTTTTTTAATGAAAGTGACAAATGTAATTAGGTGTAAGAAATGTAAGTCTTCAGTTTAGAGCAGTACCTGGCTGTAAAGGTAAACAATTTATTACCTGTGTGCAAAAAGAATAGACTAACACATTAAGGGGGAGAAGTTTAGTGTTACCTTGAGGATTTCCACTATGGTTATATCTCTACTGAAATTTTTCAATTAACTTAAGGTTACAAATTTTATAGTGATGTCTTCAACAGATGCCATTAACTTTATGACAGACAGCACAATCAAAGCCATTTAACTGGGATGCGCTGAGAAGCCCATTTCTTTATGGACAGAGAATCAAGAAGTATTTTTCCCCCTGCTGCAATGAAATTTATCATGTCTTTGCATCTGTTGTTTCTTGGGCCCCTGGAGAAACAGATTCTGCTTTTGCATCCGGTAATCCTTGGCACTCTATTTATCTACACAGCTAAATGAAGTTCTTTCAACTTCTTTCAGCAGCCTTCATCTCCACTTTCACTACTGTACCTTGTATATTACTCTTCATCTTTCAAAGCTCTTGATAATTTCAGGACCACTATACATTTTGTTTCCTAAAGAGAATAATCTAGTGCCAGATCTTGGTATAGATTTTAATTTTGATTTGGGGGGAAATGCTCATTTTGCTCACATCCCATAAAGAGCAAACTAGTAGTAAATTATTAGAAGCAACAAAACAACTGATGGCTTGAAGTCACGCCATTTTGAGAACAATCCCCAGCTACTCTACACACTTGGAATAAAATAATACGTCCAATGAAACTTGGCACCACATTCTAAACCCTGTGTTCTTTGTAAGGAAATTATAATGGGGATTATAATGATATCAACTTGAACAATTAGGGAAACTGTATTAAATATTGTTTAATGTCTGAAGAAGGGAAACACAAAGAACTAACTCAAATTCCTTTTTGTTTTTTGATATTTTAATGAGTGGTCCCCAGGAGTCCATAATATCTTACACTACATGGTGACACCCATCACCTGTGGATGAGTGGGCAGAAATAGCTGCAGAGGTGAGGTCAAATTAACTCTTCACAAATAAATTTATTTAAGGCCTTATTAAGCATCTTAGTCTTTGGATATCGCCTTCCCACCCAGGGGCTGCCTTTTCAAGCTCATCAACTAAAAATGTTCCTTGTTTTTTTTTCATCTATTCTTCCACTAGTGTAAAACCAATACAAATCCCTGTATCGTCAGCTTCAAGACCACAGGGCCACGTCTATTATCTTTCAAATTGTGATCTTTCTAACATTTCATGTCAGACTGAAAACTAAATTGTTAAGGCAAAAAGAAAGAGAGAGAAACAACTACAGTGTAGCACCAAACTAAAGGCGTTAAGTGCCGTGAGAAAATGAGGGTTATGTGGGTTAGAGGACCTGATAAATCCTTAGGGCTAAGACGCTTGAACTTAATAGAAGAGCAGTTTTGCAAATTTTAGATAGAGAAGAAATGGAAGGGAATCTTCAGGAAAAGTGCAAAAATAACACAAACACAATAAGTATATGACATGGGGTCAAGGTCTCCGGCAGCAGGGAATAGAGACTAAAAACTAATGAGTTGTGGATTACATTCATTGGTACTAACTAGTGATATTAGATGGATCTTGGCTGAAAGCAGAGAATACCAGAAAGATGTTTACCTGTGCTTTACTGACTAGGCAAAGGCTTTCCATCATGTGGATCATGACAAGCTATGGACAACATTGAGGACAATGAGTAGTCCAGAACACTTAATTGTGCACACAAGGAACCTGTACATAGACTAAGAGGCAGCTGTTTGAACAGAACACGGGAACACTGAATGGCTTACAATTTGGAAAGGTGTGCACCAAGATTGTATTCTTTCACCACATTTTTCAATCTGTATGCTGAGCAAATAATTCAAGAAGATGAATTATATGAAGAAAAACTTGGCAACTGGGTGGGAGGATGACTCATTAATAACCTTGAGGATGCAGATGATACAACCTTGATGGCTGCGAGTAAAAGGACTTAAAATAGTTATTGATGAAGATCAAATACCACAGCCTTTGGTATGGGTTGCACCTCAATGTAAAGAAAACAAAAACCCTCATCACTGGATCAATAAATAAAACCAAGATAAATGTAGAAAAGATTGAAGCTGTCAAGCTTCACTTTGTTTTAATCAACCATCAACACTTACGTCAACAGCAGTCAGGAAATCAAAAGACATATTAATTGCATTAGGCTAATTTGCTGCACAAGAACTCTTTAAAATGTTCAAGAGCAAAGACGTCAGGTTGAGGATGAAGGTGCACCTGACCCAACATGCATGCAAAAGTTGGCCAATGAATGAAAAAGACCATAGAAAAATTGATGTATTTGAGTTATGGTGTTAGAGGAAAATATTAAAAGTACCATGAACTGCCAAAAAAACAAACAAATCTGTGTTGGAAGAAGTGCAGCCAGAATGCTCCTTGGAAGCCAGGATGGCCAGACTTTGCCTCTCATACTTCAGGTATATTATCAGGAGAGACCATTCCCTGGAGAAGGGCATCATGCTTGGTAAAGTGGAGGGTCAGTGGAAAAGAGAATGACCTCCAAAGAGATGGGTTGGCCCAGTGTCAGCAGCAATGGGCTCAAGCGTAACAATGATTGTGAGGTTGGCACAGGGCTGGGCAGGTTTTCATTCTATTGTGCCTAAGGTCATTATGAGTCAGTACTGACTGGACAGCGCCTAACAACAACAACAACAACTAGTGGGTTGCACTGGAGTTCCTTGGTGGAGCAACTGTTAATACACTTGGCTGCTAATCAAAAAGCTAGAGGTTCCAGTCTATCTAAAGGTGCTTGGAAGAAACACTTGGCAATATGCTCCAGAAAAACCAGCCACTGAAAACCCTATGGAACACAGTTCTATTGTCACACATGTGGGGCCACTACAGACAGACTGAGTAGACAGTAACTGTTATTTTAGTGTGTGGCAACAAAAGCTATTTCAAATCAAGAAGAGTTGGAAACACCAGAAGCATGGGAGACTCTGGAGGGTACAACTTGGCATGAGTGTATTAGGTGAACAGAGGAATGGAAAAAGAGAAGGGATCAGATTAGAACATGGAAGTTTATTAAGAGCACTTTGCAGAGCAATCCAAACATAGTGATAGATCAGAAAGAAATAAAGGAAAAAATGTAGACTAATGTTTCCAGTGTGCATGGTCTTGAGCAAAGACTGCCCACTGATAAAAGACTTTTGAGAAGAAATCACAATCATGGCGATAGTAGAAGAAAAGGCTAGATGAGTATTCTGTAGATTTTTGTGTCCCGTAGTACAGAGCATTGCTAAATTTCCTTAGGGAGAAATGATGAGATTAGCAGATAAGATAGATTGAAGTCAATCTTTGAAGTCTTTGTTCTTATTTGAAATAAAAATCGATGTCTACGCTATCAACTTGATCTCTGAGGACTTAGTGACACAAGTGTGTTTCACAATGATCAAAACACTGTGTATTTAGAACAAACCACGTCAGAAAGCACACCTTGTATATTCTTAACTCAGGGATGAGGAGTTGGATGGACCCATTTTGACTGTGGTGCACATACACACAGTGCTTCTCCAGGATGAGAAAGTAAGATAGATTGAAATTAGAGTCCTATACATGACTTTCACTCCTCACAGCTCTGCTCTCTGATTCATCCACCCATCTGCAAAAGCAATACCTGGGAGACTCTCAAATGAAGACTGGTGCCAGTTAAATCTCTGCCCATATGTGCTGCACTTGCTTATAACTCAAATCCTGTTGCTCCCAGGGATTTGCTGGCTCTTGCATGTTTAAGTGCTAGGAGACTTTATAGACTGCTGGTTTCACGACTGATGTTTCTGACCTGCTAAAGTAAACCTTAGGGGTGGTCAGGCATTAGGTAAGTAATTAACTCAATGATCATCAGGGGAAC